AATACCAACTGTGTCTGTTGGTACCACTTGGGTACCAGGGAAATGATCAATGGGAGGATCAGATCCCCCAGAAAATGTACTCTGAGGCACAGATTTCTGTTCAGGGAGTTTTTGTGAAGAGAACTGTGAACAATAATCCCTGTGAGAGATAGAGGATATGGATTTGGTATGGGGAGAAGCTGAATTATACTGCAATTACAATAAGCCTTCAGTTGGTTCCACAGGGAACCTTAAAGTTGGGAAAGCCCTTCAGAGTTGTCCCAAACTGAGGCAAAGGGGCCAGGATTTTGTGCCATTGCATTGAACATTCATTGAATTCAGTATGTCACAGGGGAGACTTCTTTCATACACAAGAGTCAGTATAATTTCAGCTGAAGGTAATGCCTGGAAAGGAACTTGAGTTTGAGGCACAAGCAAGCAACATCACTGACAATGGAAATAATAAAAGCCCAAAATCTTGAAAGGGAATATTAATGATGCATTCTAAAGTCCATTACTCTGGTCTCCATATTTTGCAGTAAAATAATAGTAAATAAAAATATTGCAGAGAATATACCTATTACTATTATTCATTATAAAAAGTTGTCTATTGTTTATATAAACTCAAGTTTAACTAGGAAACCTGCATTCTATATCTGGCCACACTATCCCTAGAGAGAACATAAAAGAAAAGCTAAAAGAGTATTAATGTATTTCTCTTTTATAGTATTATACTGTGGATAATATGAAAACCTGACATGGGAGCCCAATGATAAAAAATTGGTTAACCTCAACAACTTTCTCTTTGTTCAGAATCCTCAGGTTGTCTAATTATAGGAATTCTATGTCCTTCACTACATTTTACCACAGGAAACAGAAATAGGCTTACATAGAACATTTCGGAAATATTAAGGAAACTGGATTGGGGGAAAGACACAGGACATAGCATACATAAGAGAAAAAAACTGGAGCAATAGGAATGGAAGGAAGGGAAGGGGAAGAGATCACTGAGAAAGATTCAGAGAATTTACTGACTGCATGATGTACAAAAATAGAAAGTGGACAAAATCTAATCAAATTGTAAGCTCTTGATTTTAGGTTATAGACAAAATGAAGATGGTATAAGATATATGTTAAGCTGGGCGTGGTGCTGCATGTCTGTAATCCCAGGAGCTCTGGCAGCAGGGGCAGGAGGATCCCAAGTTTAAAGCCAGCCTCAGCAACTTAGTGAGATCCTAAGCAACTTAGTGAGACCCTGTCTCCAATAAATAAAAATGACTAGGAATATGGCTCAGTGGTAAAGTACCCCTGAGTTCAACCCCCAGAACCCATCCCCAAAAAATAACATATAAAACAAACAAAAAAAAAGAAATAGATTCAAAGGGAGAGAAATTATACATGTCATGTCAATGTCATATCATTCATCAGAATATAATATATGTGAATAAATTAACTAATATATAACACCAAGCTGTTGTTATTGAGCAGGTGATCATTTTCCACTAAATATATTACACCTGAGACTTTATAGATATTTTTAACCACCTGGCATTTCTACAAGCTGTACTCAGGATGTTAACTTACACCAGGAAGAATTATTAGCTAAAAATATAGACACACTCTGAGAAATAAAATTTTTCAAATTTAGAATCTTAATTGAAAGATTTTATATTTATTAGAAATATTTGTCTACAAAAGGCAATTCCTAACTCAATTTCATTTTTAAAAATTATTTTATATTGTCTATATTACTAAAGATCTTTTTGAAATATACTTTTTAGTTGTCAATGGACTTTTATTTTACTTATTTATATGCAGTGCTGAAAATCAAACTCAGTGCCTCACAAATGCTAGGCAAGCGCTCTGAGCCACAACCTCACTGAGCCACAACCTCAGCCCCCTAAAGATTTTCTTTTTAAGTAGAATTTCTCTGCACAAAAGGAAAGCTTTCCTTACTGGCATTCTCTCACTTGCTGGTCTTAGATTAAGTTACCAGTAGATATCCTAAACCATAATGCCCTTCACGTCACCCCTACATCATTTTCTATTTTTATTAATCAATCCAGAGCCACCAACAGATCCATTAAATCTTTGTACATTCCAGAAGATCCCTTCATAGCATCCTCAACAGCTAGATGTTTATATAGTACAGTCTATGGACAGAAAAATATAAGGAAATATAAATAAGGCTTTTCCTATGTTCATTCAAGATTCTAAAATGTAATGCTACATTTGCATTTGGTAGATAGTTCAACTATCAGTAACTTAGCCACAGTTATTAGCTGTAGAGGTTAAAATATCCACTACAGACATCAGTGAACAAAACAAAATGCAGCTCATCCAAATGTCTTCCAATCAGAAATCCCTCTTAATAAGTATTTCACACCATCTCCTGTATTCCCTAACCATGCCCAGCAAAGAGAAATGTATGTAATACATGTAGCTATGCCATTTTAAGAAATCTTTTCTTTTAACTATGTATTTTCCATCCAAAAAGACCATTCAATTTTCCACTATAAGCATTTACAAATTATTAAGTGTTGACTTTTATTTATCTGTGTGTGCATTATCCATCAACCTTTTAACCCAAGATAGCTTATAGCTGCAATTGAGTGTATTTCCAGACTAACTTCTTGCTTTATTAGGTTTTTTGGTGTGTGTATAGGGACTATAAGAATAACTTGTCATGGCATGACACAGTAGAAAGGTAGATAAATATGTTACTGGGGGAAAAAAACGTAATATAATGGCATTTCAACCTCAGAGAGAAATTATTTTTACATTATATATTACCAGATTAAATTTTTCAAGTTTTTGCTGACTTCTGTTTATATAATAAATATGCATGGCATAGCAAATCACTACACTTATCTAATAAGTACAACTTTCTTGAAACTAGGTGTTTTCTATGTGCCAAACAAAATGTCAGGCACAGAATATGTATAGTTGTTGAAAGTTTTACTAAATATTATATTAACTCTCCTGTTATGTAATTATTATAGCTGAAGGAAAATGACTCTAATTATAATTTAATGGTTATATTACAATGCTTAAAGTGAAAAATCATTTGCTTCTCAACACAGTGAATTATTAGGAGCTCTCCCTGATAACTTGTACTTAAGATTAAGTGGGTTTCACCATTTGACCCTGCTTATCCCACTCCCTTGTCTATACTCAAAGGACTTTAAAAAAAATACAACAGTGACAGAGTCACATCAATGTTTATAGCAGCACAATTCACAATAACTAAACTGTGGAACCGAACTACATGCCAATCAATAGATGAATGGATAAAAAAAATGTGGCATATATACACAATGGATTATTACTCAGCAATAAAAATGGCATTTTCAGGTAAATGGATGGAGTTAGAGAATAATATATTGCTAAGTGAAGTTAGCCAACCCCAAAAAACCAAATGTCAAATGTTTTCTCTGATATAAGGATGCTGATTCACAATGGGGCTAGGGGAGAACATGGGAGATTTAGACAAAGTCTACATAGAGCAAAGGGAAAGGAGGGTAGGGATGCCTCAAGAGGGTAGAAAAAACACGGTGGAATGAGATGGACATCATTACCCTAAGTACATGTATAAAGGCACAATGGTGTGACTATACTTTGTGTACAAGCAGAAATGTGAAAAATTGTGCTCTATATGTGTGATATGAATTATAATGCATTCTGCTCTCATATACAACAAATTAGAATTAAACAAAGAATAATAAAAAATGATTAAGTGGGTTTCACTTTTCAATTAAATATGGCAAATACTATATACCTTTATCTCATTAGTAAAAATTACAAGTTAAAAATAAAAATAAGCTAATGCTATATATACCTTTAACTGGGCTATAACAATAATTGTCAATATTTTTGTAACTTTTATTCCAGGTACTATTATAAGCATTTCCCTGTTGGCAGCAGGTCCACCCTGGCCCCTGGAGCCCTACCTCCACTAGTTTGTTCTGCATGCCAGTGTGGCCAGCTCACAAGGCCATGGCGAACTTGCGGTTTTTCTGTTCCTGCTTATCCGTCTGAGACATATGTGTCCCACGGGAATGCCTTGACCTTTTCTGGTCTGATGGACTTATTGTTAAGGGAGGTTTCGGTACCTGACAATAATAGATGTTGAAACTAAATTTCTTCCCCCCTCCCTCCTGCTTTTGGGTAGTTTTCCACTTCTGCTGCTTGGGGTATAAAAAAAGGTGTGTTAGCAATAAAGATTATTGACTCCTGGATGAAGAACCTTGGTGTCCTGTGTGTCTTTTAACCTCGCCGTCCCTCGCCGGACTCGACTCCCTTGGCCGGACGCGGCATTTCCCCTTAATTCTCATTAAGACTTTAAAAAATACCTATTATTATCAATATTTTCACAGTTGAGAAAAATGAGATACAGAGGAGGTAACTTAGTGGCTGGAAGTTTCACAGCAACTAGGGACAGAACTGATAACTGAACATAGTACATTCTGGTGTCAGAGTCTATACAGTTAACCACTAGACCACACTATCTCCCAGTTGAATTATCTGCCCTCTTCCTATTAAAGAGAACACACATAAATGGTGCTCCGTGTTTCTCTCATTCATATCTGACTAAAACCAGTATATCAATTGTCTTTAACTCTCTATCAGTGACAGTCTACTCTGTAGGTAGGTACCCCGCCTGTCCTATATTCACCTCCCACGTTGCACTTGATATGCTGATCTATCATTGTTTTTTTTTCTTTTTGTTCCCGATTGATTACAATTCCTTCAAGCAAGGATTATTGAAAGATTGGCACACAACACAGGCCTAGAATACAGTATGGGTCTAGTAAGTGTCTGTTACATGAACAAATGCTTCTCATTGTTGCAGATCTGCCTATTGGCTCTCCAGAACTGTCATATCTACCCCTCTACCTACACACCAACATCACTTTGACGTCAACTTTTGCAATTCTCCACAATGCAACAAACTTCACATTTGTCTTTGAAATACTTTGGAAGGTACAACAATAACTGTTCCAAGAGAAACAATATCTTACCTTCTAAATCTTCTTTCTCAAAGTGTGTTTTGAGAATAGAACGAGTACCGCCTCTATCCACAACTGCTTCTTCATCATTTCTCTGTAGATTGGGGAAAAAGAAGATTAAGTAAATATAATTTATCTTATAATTTATCTTCAAAAAATAAGACTTAATATGATCTAATATTTAGAGGCTTAATTCAGTCACTTAAATCCATTTGTACATTAGTAGCCCATTAGATTATCAAGTGTGGATTTTAGAAAAGAGACTAAAATATATTTGACCATATATTCACTCTGGCGTTATCACCAGAGGGTGTAAGTGTCCAACCAACAGCACCACCTCTACAGGAGACTGCTACTAACACCTTTCTATCACCAGAGGGCGTAAGTGTCCAACCAACAGCGCCACCTCCATATGCTGGGAGGCCCCCAACCCCCGCAGTTGATAGTTGGGATCCTGAGACAAGGTCTCAAATATTAACATGCCCTGTATTTGAGGCAGGAGGGCAGCGATTTTACCAAGTTTTAAATTTCAAAACAGTGAAGCAGCTAAAAGAGGCTGTAACAACCTATGGTCCTCAAGCACCCTTCACTGTAAGCTTGGTCGAATCCATTAACAACTTGAACATGACGCCAGCAGATTGGGCTAATATGTGTAAAGCTGTGCTAAATGGAGGACAATACCTGTTATGGAAGGTTGCCAATGAGGAATTTTGCAAGGAGACGGCTAGGCGAAATGCAGCAGCTGGTTATCCTCAGAGAAATCTAGATATGTTGTTAGGAAAGGGACCTTATGAGGATCAGCAGCAACAAATTGCATATGATCCTGGCGTATATGCACAAATTGCTGCAGATGCAATTAAGGCATGGAAGACTTTACAAGGACATGGAGGTTTACAAGGTCAATTATCTAAGGTAATACAAGGAGCTAATGAACCTTATGCTGAATTTGTAGATAGGCTTATTCAAACAGCTACCAGAGTTTTTGGGAATACAGAACAAGCAATGCCATTACTAAAACACCTGGCTTATGAGCAAGCAAATCGTTGGTGCAGAGATATCATTAGACCATGGAAACATGAAGATTTAAACACATATATTAAATTATGTAGAGACATTAATGAACAAGAGCAAGTCGTGGCAGCTGCAGTAAAACAGGCTTTAGATGCCAGAGACATTAATGAACAAGGGCAAATTGTGGCAGCTGCAGTAAAACAGGCTTTAGATGCCAGGCCAAGAACATGCTACAATTGTGAACAAACAGGACATTTTAAAAGGAATTGCCCCATTGGAGGAGGGTTTAACAAAACTAGGTATCAAAGGAGTAGAATACCAGGTATTTGCCCACGATGCCGTAGAGGGAGACATTGGGCTAATGAATGCCGTTCTCAAACCACCATAGAGGGTACTCCATTATCAAAAAATGAACAAGGACCAGGTGTTTATCCACAATATCGTGGAGAAAGGCATCGGGCTCCATTGCCAAAAAACGGACAGGGGGGCCCAATGCTCCGGGGCCCAAAACCACAAATATACGGAGCACTGGAGGAACCCAGCAACCCCATCAGGGTAGTGCCCAGGACACATTGTCCATCAGATCCCTCATCAGACAAACCAGAGGGAGCGCAGGGTTGGACATCTGCGCCTCCGCCAGAGCAGTACTAACTCCAGAGATGGGAGTTCAAATCATTCCCACAGGGGTGAAAGGACCTCTTCCCAAAGGAACAGTAGGCTTATTATTGGGACGCAGCTCTTCTACTCTAAAAGGACTTATGATAAGTCCTGGGGTAATTGATCCCGATTATGAAGGTGAAATAAAAATTATAGCCAGTTCTCCAAAGGGTATATCAGTAATTTCACCAGGAGATAGAATAGCACAGTTACTAATAATACCCAGCCTACATGATAAATTTTCCAGTCGTACTGTAGAAAGAGGTTCCAAGGGATTAGGCTCCACAGGTGTAGATTGGGCTATGCTTTCTTTAAATTTAGATTCTCGCCCCATGCTAAAACTAAATATTCAAGGACATGAATTTAATGGGCTACTGGATACAGGTGCAGACCTTAGCATCATCTCTCGTCAAGAATGGCCAAAACATTGGCCATTACAACAAGCCACTCAAACGCTTCGAGGCCTAGGAGTAGCGACTAATCCCCATAGAAGTGCAATGGTATTAGATTGGAAGGATCCTGAAGGATGTGAAGGAACTATACAGCCATATGTATTGGATCATCTTCCCGTAAATTTATGGGGACGAGATGTCCTAGATCAATTAGGTTTGACATTAACAAATAACATCAACCAAAATGCACCCACTATTATGACTAGACAAGGTTTTAGGAAAGGAAAAAGATTAGAAAAACAAGAACAAGGTATAGCAGCACCAATACAAATAGATCAAGGAACAGACAGACATGGGTTGGATTTTCAGAAAGGGCCACTGAGACAATAAAAATTACTTGGAAATCAGAAAGACCAGTATGGGTTCCTCAGTGGCCCCTGACTAAAGAAAAGATACAAGCAGCCCATGACCTGGTCAAACAACAATTAGCAGAAGGGCATATACAACCTTCTGTATCTCCCCATAATACTCCCATTTTTGTCATCAAAAAGAAATCTGGTAAATGGAGATTATTGCAAGATTTAAGAGCCATTAATAATGAGATGGTTATTATGGGACCTGCTCAATCAGGGATTCCTCAGTTGTCTGCTTTGCCAAAAACCTGGTATGTTTTAGTTATAGATATTAAAGATTGTTTTTTTTCAATTCCAATTCATCCTGAGGATAGTCCACGTTTTGCATTTACTATCCCTGCACTGAATCATGAAGGTCCTGATCAGAGATATGAATGGAAAGTACTCCCTCAAGGGATGGCTAACAGCCCAACTATGTGTCAAATTTATGTTAACAAAGTAATCCAGCCACTTAGAAATCAAAATCCTGAACTACAAATATTTCACTATATGGATGATGTATTATTAGCACACAAAGATAAAAACACATTGCTAGAATGTTATGCCACACTTACAAACTTATTAAAAAATTATAATCTAGAGATAGCAATAGATAAAGTACAATTAAATTTTCCAATTAATTATTTAGGAGTTCTATTATCCTCAACCATGGTCCGTCCACCAAAAATTCAAATACGAGTAGATCAACTCAAATCACTTAATGACTTTCAAAAGTTATTAGGAGACATAAATTGGATAAGGCCTTATTTAGGTATACCAACAGGAGAGTTGGGACCTTTATTTGATATCCTACAAGGTCCATCAGATCCAAATTCACCCCGAATGTTAACGCCTGAAGCAAGAAAGGCATTAAAAATCATTGAAACATATATGGAAAATATGCATTTGGATAGAATTGATATAAGTTTGCCTTTATTATTTATTGTACTACCAACAAAAAATATTCCTACAGGAGTATTTTGGCAAGAAGGTCCATTATTATGGATACATTTATCTTATTCTCCTAACACTATTCTTACTAGGTATCCTGAGGCTGTAGGACAATTAATACTCAAAGGAATAAAAGCAGCAAAGGGAGTGTTTGGAATTTCTCCCAATAAAATTATTACTCCATATACTATGAATCAAATTGATGAGTTAGCTAATGAGTTAAATACTTGGGCAATAATCATGTGCAAATCTAATGTTTCATTTGATAACCACTTACCATCTAATCCTTTATTGTCTTTTTGGTCATTGCATCCTGTAATTTTTCCAAAAATGACAAGAAAAACACCTATCATGAATGCTCCAAATATATTCACTGATGGGTCAAATAATGGTACAGCAGCAGTCGTTACCCCTGATCAAACTTTTACATTTTTAGTACCCAAACAATCAGCTCAAAAGGTAGAGCTTAATGCAGTTTTACAAGCTTTTGTGATGTTTAAAGATTCTGTATTTAATTTATTTTCTGATAGTCAGTATGTAGTTAATGCTATAGTATCTCTTGAAGATGCTGGCAGGATTTCCCCTTCTTCTACTGTTTTCTCTTTGCTTTCCACTATACAAAGTCTAATCTGGGACAGAAAAGATCCATTCTTTATAGGACATATCAGGGCACATACAGGATTGCCTGGAGCCCTTAGTTTGGGCAATGATTTAGCAGATAAAACTACACATGACATACATATTTTCTCTACACTAGAAGAAGCTATAAATTTTCATAAAAAGTTCCATGTCAATGCTAATACTTTACAAAAGCGTTTTAAAATAACTAAGGAACAAGCTAGACAAATAATAAAACAATGTCAAAATTGTGTGACCTTTTTACCACAAGTTAATCTTGGAGTCAATCCTAGAGGATTGATACCTAACCATATTTGGCAGATGGACGTCACACACTTGCCAGAATTTGGAAAATTAAAATATTTGCATGTTACAGTTGATACTTCTTCTGGATTTTTGATGGGCTCCCTTCATGCCGGAGAAAAAACTAAAGATGTTATAGCTCATTGCTTACAAAATTTTGCCACTGTGGGTGTTCCAAAACAGTTAAAAACAGATAATGCCCCTGGTTATACTTCTACCTCTTTTAAACAATTTTGCTCAACATTTGGCATTACTCATATAACAGGAATCCCATACAATCCACAGGGACAAGGCATAGTTGAAAGAGCTCATCAAACTATTAAAATGTACTTATTAAAGCAAAAAGAAGGAATTGGGAAGGGGTATATATTCCCCAAAGATAAACTTAAAATAACCCTTTTTACTCTAAACTTTTTAAATTTGGATTCATCAGGACTTAGTGCTGCGGAAAGGCATATGTGTCCAAAAAATGTACATAAGCCCAAGGTACTTTGGAAGGATATTCTAACAGGACAATGGAAAGGTCCTGACCCAGCAATTGTCTGGAGTCGAGGGTCTGTTTGTGTGTTTCCACAGGGAGAACAGCAGCCGATTTGGATTCCAGAGAGATTAACCAAGGTCCTGACCCAGTGATTGTCTGGAGTCGGGGGTCTGTTTATGTGTTTCCACAGGGAGAACAGCAGCCGATTTGGATTCCAGAAAGATTAACTAAAGCGATTTCTACAGACCAAAAAGAAGATGATTTGGCTCAAATCCATAACAACTGATAT